CCGCTACCTTCCGGCTTGTAGCATAGTGCTTCAACCAACTACGCTACCGCGTGTCCCCCCCCCCATATATATCTCTCTCTCTCTTTAATGTAACATCTCTTTCCTGTCAGTTGCAATGAGAGTGCAGGAATTCCACTGAGGGCTTCACTTGACAGCTTGCATATAAATTGAGCACAGACTCAGATAACAGATGGCATGGCATATTGTATTCTTAATATAAATATAGCTGTCTGTCCAGAAATTTTAAGGCTCATACTCGTAATGTCCATATTCAGTGAATTCATGATTTTTAAATGTGCCTCAAGAGCTTAATGTATAAGAGTGGATAACAGATAACGTACGATGTCGATTCCCATTGAAATTTCAATGTGCATTATGCTAATAAGTATATAAATAAATGCTTCATATATACGGTAATAAATCAGTATATGAAAGAAATGAACATCACACCCAGTGGAGTATGAGGAAGATTAAAGAACGAATTTGCAAATTATGTGCACACTATTATAGAACAGACATTATTTCCCCTTGAATTCACTCATACTACATACACACATGTATTACTAAAATTTCTTCAGGACTGGCTTGACGTCACAGGCTAATCAAGCAACTGCCTGGGGCAGCACCAATTTCGGAGTTGGATATTTTACAATTTAGGATTTTCTTTCAAATGAAAATTAATTGCTACGCTTTTTGTTCTTATAGTGACCATTAACTGATGGTGACCTAAACATACTGTTGAAACAGTGTAAATATAACTGTGAAGTACAAGTACTGCAATGATATAAAATTCTTTAATCTCAAACCAGCAGTGACATCACGATGATCTCCACCAAACCCCAGATACACGGATTGCATCATGAGGGAAGCAACTGAGCTCGAGCTCCTGCCCAATAACATGGACAGGGATGATAGCTTCTTCCCTGACCAGGCAGCACATTATCACAACCTCAATCTTTAAGTTGGGGCTCCATCTGTGGCTCAGTGCTTGGCTGTGCACAGGGTAAGGACTTCTAAGTTTTTAGTACATAGGATGTATCCCTCAGCAGACATTATTAGGCAGATCAGATCAAGAGGATGTGATGGACAGGGTACATAGCATGTGTGGGAAAGAAGAGAAATGAATACCAAATTTCAGCAGGAAAGCCTGAAGGGTTGAGGCAGAGATGGAAGGATAATACTAAAATAAATTTTAATGAAGTAGGATGAAAAGATTTGGACTGGATTTATTTGGTTCTGAATAAAAAAGATGAGCAGGCTGTTATGAAAATAGTAATGAACTTTTGATTTCAGTAAAATGCTGGAATTTCTTGAATAGTTGAGCAACTATTAATTTCTCAAGCTGGACTCTGCTACATGGTGTAGTTAGTTAGCTCTTTCATCTTATACAGCAAAATATACATATACAGATTTTCATAAATGATCTATAATTTCATTGAAACAAATTGTATAATGAGCTCTTAACTCTACTGTTGTGAGGTTCAACTGAACTTGAACAAGTACCCAGTATTGTGCAATCCATGATCTAGTCCACATTAAGAAATGGTTTTCCCCTTTTGCTGTATCACTTGACTGCATTCTGGGTAATGAACATGCATAATTGTTNGGTGTAGTTAGTTAGCTCTTTCATCTTATACAGCAAAATATACATATACAGATTTTCATAAATGATCTATAATTTCATTGAAACAAATTGTATAATGAGCTCTTAACTCTACTGTTGTGAGGTTCAACTGAACTTGAACAAGTACCCAGTATTGTGCAATCCATGATCTAGTCCACATTAAGAAATGGTTTTCCCCTTTTGCTGTATCACTTGACTGCATTCTGGGCTATGAACATGCATTTTGTGTTTTCTTACATTTTTACCTTAAAATGACATTTTTTAAAAATGGTTTGAAAATTATAATCAGCAAAATGGCTAATAACTTCAACATATAGTTCAAGGCCCTTGAAGATGACTGAAATTAGTAATGATATGCAGGGAACGACGTAAGTAGTTTTTCTCGATACAAAGAACGGCACTGAATATTGGGGGATAATGGGTGTATTGGTTGTAGAGCTACAGAAACCAAAGTGTGCTGTCTCCGAGAGACTCACATGAGTGGGCGATGGGTGCTGATGACGAAGTCTGGCTTCGAGTTCTTGTACACCAACCTCGAGCTTGTCTGCAACCACTGCCACTGGCCTTCTTTGGTCTGGAACCGGTACGCAATCATGCCAGATGCACCAGTCTTCAGGACTGTAACAAGTTGGGACAAACCACATTCAGTGACCACATTCAAGTTTTTGTATTCATTTATCTGAGGCCATGGTCAGTAGATCAGACTAAGTAGCCTCAAATAATATAATGAAAAAATATGTTATAATGAATTAGAAGGGACATGGAAGGAAATGGGCGTGGGCTAATTTAAGGTACTGTCTAGAATTCGCATGGAGAGACTGAGGAAAACTATAGAAGCCTCAGTCATGATAGTTGATGTGATGCCGATAATAACTGGAAAACACTTGAATACAAGCCAGCCATTTGAGACGACTGGTTAGGCCATTTGGCTGGATTAACCGAGGAAAACCACAAGAACTCAGTTTTGATAGTTGGTCTTGGGACCGAAATTTGAAACCAAGGCCTCCTGAATGTGAAGCAGACATCATCTGATGTCAACATCCAATAGTTTTTAAAATGTAACAACGGATTGAAAGGATGTGCCACAGTGGAGCTGTAATGTTGTAACTTACGTTCTTGATGTGCACTTGCCACGTAAGCAAGGTCATCGTAATGGACTAGATCATAACCTCCCAAATTGGCAAGCTCGGCATCTGAGTACCCCAGCAGCATCTTTCCCCTGTCAAACACAAAAACGGTTAAAGTGCACTGTTCCTTGGACCTTCACCTATCCTTTTTTGATATATCAACTTTGAAAAAGTGACAAAGTTCAAATACTTGGTGATGACTCTGAAAAATCACAACTGAATTCATGTAGAAATTAAGAACAGATTAAAATTTGCTTCTGCTCAGTACAGAACCTTTTGTCTGCTCAAAAGGTTGAAATAAGTAAAAAAATCATAATTTTTTCTCTTCCCTGGTGTGGAATGTGGTCTATCACATTAAAGGAGGACTGAGAATGTTTCTCAAAAGATTACTGAGGTGAATATTTGAGCCTAATGGGTAGGAAATGACAGGAGGCTGAAGAAAATTGAACAACAAGGAGTTTCAAAATTTGTACCCCTTGCCAGACAGTATTAGGATGATCAAAGACTTGTGATATATGTAATATGCATGGGAGAGAAGAGAAATGCTTGCAGATGTTTGTTTGGGAAACCTGAAGGGGATAGAGCACTTGGAATACCTAGGGTTAGATGGAAGGATAGTATTGAAATGGATCTGACAGAAATAGGGTGGAAGGATGTGGACTGATCTTACCTGGCTCAGGACAGGGATCAATGGAGAGCTCTTCATGATAATGAATTTTCATGCTCCGTCAAATGCTGGGAATGTCTAAGTAACCAAAGAATTATTAACTTTTCAAGAAGATCTCTGCCCCATGGAGTTAGTTATACACCATCAGGAAAACCCAAGAGAATCAGACAGTGATGGAACTGAGTAGCCCAATCAGTTAATCAGATCTTCTTGGGCTGGAATTAAATAGTCTAACTAATTAACTGTTTATATTAATTATGTTAATTTTGGGGCACAGAATTCATAAGGTTTAATAAAGCTGAAATTCTCCTACTGTTCAGCAAAGAAGCTGGTGAGGTAGGTAATGATAAATCTTAATACAGTAACATAACATAAAACCAAAATTAGCATCAGTCATATTATGTAATAAACAGAGTTCAACAAACCCACTCATGTATTTGTTTGTGACAAATAAAAAATTAAGGTGAACAAGTGCAGAAGTTTTTAATGTATTTGTTAATATTATCTTCTGCTCTTTATTTAAATGTTTAACAGTTAATTAGAATAGTATATGATATCTCATTTACACAATATGTATATAATAAGATATAATGTAAGATCTGAGGCTTTCACGGCGGTGACTATGAAGAAAGCAGTCTTCTGGGATTTGGCACCGTGTATATGTGGTGTTAACCGACGTTTCGGAGGAACGTATCGCCTCCATCTTCAGGGTAGAAGAAAAAGTATAAGAAATCTGCNTAAGATATAATGTTTCAGGTGTTGCATGTTATGTGATGGTAAGTAGCTACTGCAGTGGCAGGGGTGACAATTGAAGTTTCTCTCTGGTTGCTAACCTGATCAAATATACGTTGACCCCTGGAAATAAATCATTGAATAATTCTCTTAGGGGACAAAGCTGATGAAGTACAAATTAGGTTAACTGTGAAAGAAGGAGAATAAAAATGTTTGTTTTTGCATATTATTAAGTTCAATAACTGTTCAAAACCTGTTGAATTTTCAATATGCTGAAGATCAAGACAAGGATAGCAATAACTTTACTAATTTTATATGTTTCATATGGTTACTTCTAGGAATGAATATAAATCACAAAGGTTTAAAAGTAAACTGTTAAGGAAAATATTTGGATCTAAGATGGATGAATGAATTATGAAGGATTCTGATTACAATATCTTACAATCACAATCTACTGAATGAAACTACTTTGGTCTAATACAGCCTCCATAAATTTGGAGCCCCCCACCAAAGGGGCGATGAAGTTCATTGGATGACCCAATTAGAAACGGGTTGATAAAAAAGATACTGAATTAATTTTAATCCTAAAAGGCCACATCAGACTATAGACATAGAATTCAATAGTAAATGTACTTTGTAGATATCAATAGGATTCATTAGAGATTATTTTGTAACTGCTGAGTCAAATTTTGGGCCATTTTTATAGGTTGATGGCCTCTGGAATTTTATTCACATCAAGAATCCTCAACTTAAAAGTTTGGGACCCAAATGAGTGGAGCTTGCCCACCTCAAAATGAAAACAGTTCCAGTTTATGAAACATGTACGTTTCAGAATACTGTATGATGCATAATGTCTGGAAATCCATTAATAATTTTACTAACTGCAACATGTCACTGTCAGAGCCATTTAGAAAAGGATAGTATGTCTATTAGTGGATATTTATTCTGATGTATGGAAGCTTACATTTAACTTATATAATGAACTGCCCTTGCAATAGCTCAAACGGTTAGAAACTGCTTCCTCACTATGGAGGCCTGGGTTCAACCTAGTGTAATCCTTGTGGATTTTATGGTATAAACGATGGCACTGGGCATGTTCTACTGTAAGAACTTATGTTTTTCCATTTCAGTGATACTTCTCTGTTATTCTATATTCATATATTTTCCAGGAATGATACAATAGGCCCATCTGCAACAGCATAACTAAGAGACTATCTCACAACACTCCTATGACTAAATAACTACCATATGTAGTTAATTTCATTTGGTCGAATTGATGTGAAGTCCTTTAGCCCTCTAAATAAATTTAGCTGGGAACAGAGACAGGTTAGGTTAGGTGTAATTACCTTTGGTCCATGGATACGAGGCTGAGATCGAGTTTGTGCTTACTCTTGAACATCACCTCCTTTTGGGGAATTTCCAGCAATGATGGTGGTCCAAAAGGAGTGCAGATGGCAAAGAGTGCAAGTGGTGGTTCCTCTGTCTTGCGGTTCTGCCCATGGAGAACTTTGATTCGCCCTCGGATATCCAACCGCTAAAACACAATGCCCAAAGCAACTTAAGTATCCAAATGTTCGCCAAGGGATAAGAAATTTGCAGTTTTCTGGCTGAACAGAATGTTGCTTGTAAAGTTTCCTGCCTTAAACCCAATAAAGAACATCTAAACTTGTTATGAAATCTACTCTGCCCTGCTACTAGTATGTATGATAGCTATAGCTGTTAAAGTTACAAGTAAATCATGCATCGGAGTTTGGGGTTTTTTAAAATTACATAAGTAAATTTCAATTTCCTAATTTTTAGTGTTATTCTGCATTTAGATTTCGCTGCTGTACACTGCAATATTGGAAAGGAAAGCAACAGTAACTTACATGACGATTTGAGGGGGAGCGACCCAGGTGGTCGATCAAGGGCCTCAACAAAATAGAAATAGAATTCACGGGTTTTATTTAGTCATTTGAGCCTCTAAAATAATGAAAAGCTGGTGTGTATTGTAGTTTTTAGTTTTTTTAAGAAATAAGAACATAATTTTCTGTGACTTAAATTTGTTTTTACTCATAGAGACCTCCACGTTTTGATGACTCCGGTGCCCCAACATTTTTAAATCCGAACCTGGTATCTCAACCTGGGCAAAAAACGAGGAATTTTGATTATTAGTTGCAAAGAGCAGAAGCATCGTGCGAAACGGAATAATTTGAGTATCCTTAGTTTATCATTTCTAGGCACAAGTACATCTAAATAATATTCAAAAATTTATTACCTACCTCACAGGGAACATAGGGCGTGCTCATTTTAAATACCAACCAGCTAATGCTGTTCTTGTCACAACGATACAAAACACTTAAATACACTCTGAAGGTAGATGTTTAATGCTCACCATTACGGTAACTCATACGGATCGCATGAATGAAAGTAACCATTTTCACGTCAGGAGTCGGCACAGCTCAGTCGGTATAGTAACCAAGCTACCGGAGGAAGCCAAGGAATTGGGTTTCGATTCCAGGCCGAGACAAGACATTCTTCCTCTCCATAGCCTCCAGACTGGTCCTGAGTGGCTTCTGCCCTGGGACTAAATTGGAGGCCAGAACTTGAAACTGAGGCATTATGCTACAAGCCGGAAAATGGCGGGTTCAGTTCTTGATGAGATCACTTAATTTTTCAATTGACCTAATATTTCCAGCCCCACTATGGCCCTGGGATCGACTCAGCCTCTAACAGAAATGAGTAATAGTAATCTTCCTGGGGGGTAAGGGGAGGCCGGCATGTAAGGCTGACAACCTCACAGATATCTGTGAGCCGATTGTCTAGAAAATGTCGGAGGCTCGACGTCTCACAATCCTATGTGCCTCCATGGCCTGTTACAGGGATAGCTTTACCTTCTTTTACCGTAATCTTCTAGTGTCGAGCTAAGAATGCCTGGAGCTGTACCTCCACTTCTCATACGTCTTTATGTAGCCGTGTTTAATTAATCATAGGGGCACATATATGCACGCACGCTCCTTGGTCTCCTTTAGAACACATGCCCAGTCTTCTCTGTTTGCGCCTTCCGCCTCCATATCTTCACTTTGTGATCTCGTAAACCATTCTCTACATCTTCCAGCCATGTCAGCCTGGACTTTCCCCATTTTCTTCTATCTTCTGGCTTATTTTCAAAACAACTTTTCTTAGCCACTTTTGTTTCATCTATTCTAATCACATGTGCTCCCATCACTCCAAATTTCTGCGTTTCATATCAATTATCGGGCCAGGAGTCTTAATATAGTTCCTTGAGTTCCTGGTTAATTACCATTCTTCTGACCCTTAAGATCAGGGTTAACTTTACTATTCTGAAGGACGGGTCCTACCTCTTAATGTTTTATGGATGTAGGTAGATTTCCTCTTCCTTCCAATTAAATATGGACGCATCCAGACCGTATGAAGCTCACTATGACAGTCACTGCTCGCGTTTTAATTGTTCCCTAATACTTAGGGTATAATTACGGGTTTTCATTTTAACACAAAAAGCTCAGTTCAGCGTGAGTGCTTCCGCTGGGCTGCCTTCCGGTGCTATAATTTTTATATTTTCTTCCAGCTCTGCGATAAGCTCTATCACGTGGCCTATAAGACGGGAAATGGGCAAAATAATTAATCAGCTCCAGTTTCAGAGTTTCTCTCCTGCACATGTAACTTTTATATACAGAAGTGAGTCTTGAGTCAGATCTGAGAAAATGATAATAATGTTGTTATTGTTGAGGTCAAAGATTTTATGCAACAAAGTAACAATTCTATGCTCTCGTAAGGCTTACAACATCACCGCCCTCTGTGAGCCGATTTTCTCGAAAATGTGGGAGCTTCGATGTCTCACTACCCTACGGGCCTCCACGGCCTGTAACAGGGATAGATTTTCCTTTTGACTAGTACTAAAAGAAGTGCAACTTTTACGATTTTAAGCCTTAAAGAAAAGAGAGGAAACTGAGGGGGGAGGAGATATACGAAAATGATTTGGTACTTCAATTTCGTATACACAATTTATCCGGTTCCTGAGCAGTGCTCATTTGCCTGAGTGTTAATTCACATTAGGTAATAGGTTTTGTGAACTAATGCAAACATAACCTAAGCAATATTTAAGAATTCTGTTAACACCGCGCAGAAAACAATGAACCGGTCAGTGCTGTGTAGAGAATCCATACATCTTCGTTTTGAGAATCGCACGAAATATACATACACACTGTGAACAAAATACATAGTACTGACACCTTAAAGCAGGTGGTACACAAAATTACCACTATCCTTTAAGGATTTAGGAAAATAATTAAGTATCTGCAGTTCCTACCTTCCTTCAACGCAGCACGTACAAGAATGCCTACAACAGAGCCTAAGATATTGTCACGTGATAGTGACTATAGACGGTGTTTGGATTGTTAATTGGATTTATTGAACGCTTATAGATCTTAGCTAAAAGCAACTCTAGAGTTATCGCTAATTCACATACTCTTCAGTTCACTACAGCACGCATTAAATGTTCTCGCTCTGTTTTGTTTTTACCAGTCGTTGCCTAGTGATGGATTGCAACAATGTCCTCTGCTCTTGTGCTCACGTTCTTACCGGTTGGCGACTCTTCCATAACTAATTCATTGCTCCAACTGTTGACTCTCGACTCTCACTGTCCTCCTTATAACATCACGTTACGGACCGCACAGAAAACACCGTTCATCTGTTGCTGTTTCCAACGGCTGTTGTATATTTATTATCTGGCGGTCATTGCCCAGCAACGGTTCTACATGCCAGAGTATATTTAATTGCCTGTTGCTCACTAGTGGTGAGTATGTGATGTTACAAGGATATACATATGCAGTACCGGTATATACGTATAATATGACGGTTATGTACGATCTCAGTTCGTAGCTGCATTTGATCGCATAATCTTACAACCATCTTCGGAGTATTGTTTGAACCAATTAGGGCTGGATTTAAGGAGTTGTGATTGGGGGGGGGGGTCGCGTTGTGCCCACCAAAGAACATAAATTGAATCCGCAGGTTTTATTGACACAATGTTTTCCTAAAATCACGAGAGGTTAGTTTACACTTTTAGTTACTGTAAGATATTAGAACATAAAAATGGCCATAACTTAAATGTTTTGTTACTGATGGGGGTCAGCACATTTCTATTACTCCGGGGCCCCAAATGTAAGGACGATCCTGGCACCAAGTGACCCTAAAATCCCGTAATGGCCCCCGCAACTAGGGCTGCTGACGCAAAACGCGCGTTAGACGCTTTGTCAGAGAGACGGCGGTGATTCTAAAGTTTCTGCCTCTTTTTTGTGTTCTTTGTGCTTCTGCAGTGGACAATGTTCAGACGTTGATGATGATAAATGGGAAATAATGGACTTGTGCAAGCTACTTATTTCGTTTGAAAAAAATAAAGAAAAGGCAATTTTAGTACAAAACATCAGCAAAAACTGTGAAGTAGAAGAGAATAATAATTTGTTTCACGAAGTGAACGCTGAAAGTACACAAGTAAAAAGAAACTAAATTTATTGTTTTTCGATCCAGCTACACGAGATTCTTCTGTCACCACGAAAATGTCTTGCTGACAATTTTGTCAGCACAGGATGCTAAAACATGGGGAAAAACAGTACAGCTTTCTTACATAGAGGAGAGAACTCTCGCTGTATGTCGAAGTCTGTATGTTTTACGTAATTGGTTGAGGCACTATGCTACAAGCCGGGAGACCGCGAGTTCAAGTACCGATGAGGTGGATTTTTCAATTTACGTAATCCTTCCAGCCTCACTATGGACCTGGGGTGGACTCAGCCTCTAACAGAAATGAGTACCAGGAATATNTGCATGGGAGCTACGTGGGGGGGGGGGGTAAAGGGCAGCTGGCAACCTCACCGCCATCTGTGAACCGATTTTCTAGAAAGTGTGGAAGCCTCGACGTCTCATAACCCTATGGGCCTCCACGGTCTTTTACAGGGACAGCTTTTACTTTTCTTGACAATATTTTTACTCATTTGCAATCTGAAACCCTAATGACCGTGGCTTATATAATTTTACCTGCTCTTTTGTACTAATATGAAAACTGTACTTTCACATTAAGAGAAGAACGTATTTGACTGGGATTTCTGGTGCTTTAAGAGAGAGAGAGAGTAACAGGTCGATGGAAACAATAGTGCAATTAGAATCTCCATGATTTTTACTCTTAACTGAATAGAAGGTTGCATTCCTCGGGGATGTTATACTCTGTAGTTTTGTAGAAAGGTATTAAATTTTCGGTAAAATCTCGTGCCTCCGTCTACAGAGCATCTTGAAGATGGAAGCATTTGGTTCTTTCGAAACATTGGTAACTTTCTAGCAAACTACACGGAATCACCTCCCAGAAGATCATATTCATCATATTCATATAATAGATTAATAAAACAAAGTATGAGATGGGTGGAGCATGTAGTACGCCTGAATATTGTCTTTGATAGCTTTGATGCTGCTTCGAAATGTATTACGTATTATTATCGCCACAAGTCTTCATTTATACATGACCTTAACTGTTGTTTGCTACAG